GTGTGTGTGTGTGTGTGTGTGTGTGTGTGTGTGTGTGTGTGTGTGTGTTAGATTTCATTTAGCATACCTCCACATTAATACCAGAAAGTGTTAAAACCTACATATGGAATCAAGAGCAAAGTAAGATCAAAAACCATTTTTACGCTGATATTTCCACCAGTTGACCAGAGGTGACTGAGTTCTTTTTTTTTTTTTTTTGGCTATGCAGTGGGGTTAAGTGACTTGCCCAAGGTCACACAGCTAGTAAGTGTTAAGTGTCTGAGGTTGGATTTGAAATCAGGTCCTCCTGACTCCAAGGCCCGTGCTCTATCCACTGCGCCACCTAGCTGCCCCCATTTTTTTTTTTTGACTGAGTTCTTTAGGAGTAAAAAGCCCCATCATCCAGCTGAAAAAGACATTAAGATAGGATTGGTACTCAAGAGGCCTTAAGGATTCCAAAAGAAAGCCATTCCTCTTAATCTATTAAGATACAATGGATTAAAATGGTAATCTAAGCATTCACGTAATTATGAGGAGAAAATGAAATCCACTCCGTTCATAAGACTTAAATATCCAAAGGAGATTTATTAAAGGATATTCTTTATAGTCAGCTGGATGTTTGAGTGGGATGCTGTGTGCCTCCAAATCATTGTTTAGATTGGGGAATGGCAGTAGATTGAGGGTATGGTATTTCCCTAGTTTGCTGTAGTGTAATAGCTCCAAAAATGGCTTCTCAGCTTTCCCTTTTTGCATAGGAAGACTGATGTCAGCAAGGAGGCCAGTTTCACTGGACTGCAAAGAACATGGAGAGGAGCAAAATGCAAGAAAACTGGAAAGCTAAGAGGGGGCTTTTATCTCTTACATTATGAAAAGTGTTTTGCATGAGTACGCATCTATATACTATATCGAGATGCTTGCCTTTTCAATGATGGTGGGTGGGGAGGGACGAAGGGAGAAAATTTATAACCCAAAGTTTTAAAAACGCATGTTAAAAAAAAATTAAAAAAAAAAAGAACTGCTTAAAGATGGGATTTGGGGGAGGAATGTATAAAAAGTTTTTTAAGCTTTTGTAAAAGATAGCCAAAAAAAATTTTGTTTTCAAAGAATCCATATAAGAAGTCAAGAAGACCTGAGTTCAAATTCAGCTTTAGACATACTTATTAGCTTTGTGAATTTGAGCAAATGATTTATCCTTAGCCTTCTCACCTATAAAATGGGAATAATAATAATATCACCTACCTCCCAGGTTTGTTGTGAAGATCAAATGAGATATTATGTGCAAAGTGCTTAGCACAGTGCCTGGCATGTATTAGGTGCTATATAAATACTAGGTGTTACTACTGCTACCACTACCACCACTACTACTACCACTACCACTACCTGTACTACTACTACTATTACTACTACTACTACTACTACTACTACTACTACTACTACTACATCTACCACTACTACCACTACCACTACTACCACTACCACTACTACTACTACCACCACCACTACTACTACTACTACAACTACCACTACTAGTACTAATAATAATAATCTAATCCCTTCATTTTACAGATGAAAAAAACTTAGAGGTATAGTGACTTACCCAAGGTCATACAGATAGCAAGTGACAGAGACAGGAGCATTGGAACCCAGGTCTTCTGGTTCTACTGTGCCATGCTGCTTAGGAGATAGTTCAGAGATTCTTTTTTTTTTTTAATTTTTAAATTTTTTTATTTTTAACAAGTGTTGTTAAAACTTTGGATTACAGATGTTCTCCCTTCCTCCCTCGCCACCCACCCTCATTGAAAAGGCAAGCATCTCGATACAGGATATAGATG